GAACTTGAAAAAAGTGGATTAAGACTCGTACTGGAAAAAGGAGCCAGTGTATCAAATCAAATAATGTGGGGTCAAATACACTTCAGATGTATTCTTACAGGAGTGCCAAAGATCTGAGATAGAGCACCACTTCACTATTAGAGAGACACCGTAGTGGAATAGGGTGGCAGAGAGGATCAACTAGATTTTGGTGAAGAAATTTTGATGTATGTTATCTAATACTGGGTTGAATAGAGTATATTGGGCTGAGGAAATAAATTATGCTTGTCACTTGGTGAATCATCTGTTTTGTAGCTATCGGGATGAATAACCCAAAGTAGATGTGGTCGAGACATCTTGTTAGAGATTAAGAACACTTGAGAGTATTTAGGGGTCCAGCTTACTATCATGCTTAGAATGATAAACTAGAATCACGTGCAAAGAAGATGATCTTTATTGGCTTCAGGATGGAGTCAAGGGCTTCAAACTCTATGATCCAATAGAGAAGAAGTTATTATTTGCATGGATGTTATATTTGATGAGGTGAGCATGTTGAATTTTTGAGACTCTAAGGAGGTGGAGAGTTCTATTAGGACCACAGATGCGTTGCAGAAGTTGGAGTTTAATGTAACTTTAATTGTTCCACTAAGACTGATCACTCATACCCAAGCACTTGATTCAGCTGTAGATCAGGAGGTAAAAGATGACGAGGTTTTAGCTTAGGAATCTATTGTGAGGAATAGGTTTAGGCACCTGAATGTTTTAAAATCAGCTTAGTTGAGGGATCACTTTGTATTATACTTTCAACTATAGATGCTGAAATTTCTAGTCACTGCAAGGATGTAGTGGAGAGTCCTGATAGTTATTTGTAGAAGAGAGCTATAAATGAAGAGATAGAGTCTCTTCAGAAGAATGCTACTTATTAGAAATTGGTGAAGCTTCCTCTAGGAAAGAAAGGCATGGGTACATATATATATGTGTGAAAAGAAGGAAGAATCTCATGGAGCAGATATGCGGTACAAGGCTAGGTTGGTTGCTAAAGGCTTTGGCAATGAGAAGGGATTAGCTGTTATGAGGTGTTCTCCCTAGTGTTCAAACATCCCTTGATCCATGTTCTCTTAGTACTTGAAGCGTAATATGGTATGATTCTAGAGCAGCTCGATGTAAAAAAATACATCCTTACATGGGAAATTGTAAGAAGAGCTCCATATGTTATAATTACCTAGATTTGGAATCTCAAAAGACTTGATTTGTAGATTAGACAAGTCTTTAGTTAGTATAGTGAGCAGGTTCACCAATTATAGGGGTTTGGTGAACATTAGGGCTTATGATTGATTGTTCACTTGTTTTTGAAGAATTACGCTCGGCTTGATCCCTTGGGGGGGATACGTAGACAACCATCTAGTTGCAGTCGTTCTAATATTGACCTATTTGCCATCTTTCAAATCTAAATAAGCTTTGTTTTGGAAAGTTTTGATGGCTAATTAATGTATTAATTAAGGAATTGATTATTAAATTAATTAAAAGATTTGATTGATGCTCTGATTAAGAAGTTTTTTCTTATTTATTTTGTCTCAAATCTATTAAAAAGGGTTTGGGGGATGTTGTAGATGTATGAGAGAGAGAGAGAGAGAGAGAGAGAGAGAGAGAGCAAGCCAGCTATAACTTATGTTTTCTCCAATATAGTGAAATCTTTATTCTCTCCCTGTGGACATAGGCATTTTCGTTGAACCACATAAATTGATGTGCTATTTGTATTGATTGTGCTTTGATTTTGATTTAGTTTCCGTTGTTTGCATAATAGGATTTGATTTCAAATTTATCTTTAGAAGTTATTGGCAGCCCACTTATCTATAAGTATACACAAAAAAGAAATATTTACAAATGAAATTTGAACAAAATTTCATTGATTCATTAATATATGGCTCATACAATTAGGATTGTAAATGAATCAAATAAAGTTGACCATTAATTTGTTTAAATTTGTTCATTATTTTCTTATTGATTTTATCGGTTTAAATAATGATATAAATTTTAATTTGTTTTCAAAATTCTTTATTAATTTTTATCCAGTTCAATTCATAACAAAATTTTAATTGAGACTAACTTTTTATATACATTGGTGTATCTTAATACTAGGCATAATTACTTTTTATATTTTAACCAAAATTGACAAAATTCAATAGCTAGGTATTATTTAAATTTTGTTGTGAAATTCATATATTAATAAGAAAATATTTATTTCCATCTTATTTAGAATTTTAATAATATACATAAATTTTAAAATATATAAATATAAAAAAATATAGTTAGAAAAAATCCATCAAATATGCAAGTTAATCATAATGAAATAAGCATTTTGTGTTTGGAAAATTAAATACTTAGCCCAATCCATTAATAAAAAAAGAATTACAAAAGAAAGAGATTATATTAGATTAGAAGACCAAAAGTGTAGCTACATGAGCGGCCACCAAAAAATGAGAAATTACTACGTATTGAGTAAATAAATAAACATTTAAACTAATTCAATTAATTAAATAAATAAATATAAAAAAAGTTATATAAATGAGTATTAAATTAGTCATCAAACACTCAAAAGTTTTATTTAGGACAGCTTTTTTATAACTTTGTAAAACTGTCATAAAAAATAACTTTTTAAAGTTATTATACAAAATATCTTTCTTATATAATTTAAAAAAAAATACAGCCAAATAAAATTTATAATTATAATCTAAAAAATAAAGCAACGAAAAAGTTGTGCCTAATTCATTTACCGTTACAACACTAATTATGAAGCTCCCTTAAATCATAATTACTGGAGATTTTTAAGCTTTGAAAGTCCCACATTTCATGTGCACAGAACATACACAAAGAAGAGGATGACAAAGCCTGAAATTGGAACATGCCTTACAGGCTCCACACTCTGGGCAACTGTCGTTCCTTTCTTCCACGTGCACTTCACGTGCAAATAAAAAAAAATATTAGCTGTGAGCCTGTGATGAGTTTGACAGTGGAGAAATTATTATGTGCGGAATTTGAATGAGAAGAATCGTTCGAATATATGAGTGTACTTTCATAATCCAGACAATTCTTCTCGTCTAAACTCCGCACATAATATATAATTTTTCTTGATGGTGGACAAACCAACTAATATTCATACCTTATTAATATACTTAAATATTACATTAACCTCAATTTTCCCAAATAAAGCATCACTTAAAGAAAATGTTCGCTTGAAATTGTATAAATTATTTTTAACAATTTGCATGCATGTTATCATAATTATATTATAATGCAAATTTTTAATCATTTTTTATTAAGATTTTGTTTAGGATACTTTTCTTACTACTTGCTACAAGTGTATAATTTCCTCTTATATACATAAAAACAAATGTCGTCTTTATTTTATTGAAGTTCGGATGCAGAATTATGCTCGAACTTCACACAGAATCATTTCTCTGGCTTATGACCTTTCACCAAAAACCAACTACTCAAGCTTTTGCCTAAATGAATAAATAGCTCAATGAGAAGAATAGAATTGCTTAAAAGCCTATGAAGAAGAGAATAATAATGACATGGAACCTAACCTAAAATGGATAGCAATGATGTCTAAAGAGAGATAAATTTGTTCTTTTTAATTACCCTACCTTTAAATGATTTTACAATTAATGGAAGACAAAGTCATGGCCCAACAAGTACTTCAGGAGTGGCTGTTGTGATGCTTTCTCTCACAAAGCCTTTTCTATAGGAGAGGAGGAGCACTCTCTCTCTCTATAGAAAAATAACTTTCTTAAAATTATGCAATATAAATATAAATTTTATTATTGGTAAGTCTCCACAAAATTCACATGAATATGAAGGTAGTGTTTGAATTAGAAATTTCAGAATTAATTCATGATTTTTCAAATTCATATATTAGCAATATTAGCAAATATATAATCCAAGCGAATGTCTCAATGAAACAAATTCATTGACACTATTGAAAAAATTAGATTCAATTCTAATTAAGCACAAATTAAATACTTAAAGCATAATTAAAAAATAATAATAATATTAATTGGAAGACCAAACAATCTCTAAATACTGTATGTTTTTAATTAAATCAAGCATATCGATGAGATCAATGAATCCAATAAGTCAAATATCATTCAATTTTTAGGTCATTATGATAATCAAATTATGAATAAATACTTTATCATCAAGGGGATTAATGGAGACCCTTTGACAGAGTGTTTTTTTTTAGTCAAACTTATTGAAATACCCTTTCAAAATTATACATTGATGAGACAAATTTTCTACATGAGCTGATTTTGGAGTTAAGATATCTGAAAAACTCTATTGCATTGCCTGATGATTATCACGAATAAACATCATTAGTAACTATTGCTACAATCACTTGATTTCAGTCCTTCAGCCAATACCTCATAACTACTAATATCCAACCCATTATTTGACATTTGTTATTTGACTTTAGCACATGACCTATGTAACATTATTATCACTTGGGCTAATATTGTATGATTGTCTTAATCTTCTATTATTTATTTTTTTTTTTGTAATTTTTACAATGAGAATTAGATAAATTTTTTTAATTTGAAAATCATGTTTTTGTTCAATTGTAGAGTAGAATGAATTTTTATACTTTTAATTATGTAGTGGAGTATTTCTACTATATTAGGCCCCATGAAATTTTCCTTTTTCTTTTTTTTTTCTAGTAAAAAAATATTATCTTTATAACTTCTATCTATTTGTGTACCAAAATCTTATATCGAATTAATAAATTAAACACACTTTTTTTAATACCGCAAAATTTCTAGCACTTAATAATTATATTACTCAAATAATACTTTATAAATATCAAAACTTTAGTAGGGTGAAGAGAAGAACAAAAAAGAAGGGGTAATTGGTAATGTGGTATTGCATTTATTGTTCTAAAATATAATGAAGGAGCTAATTCTTAAAAGAAAAAAAAGAAACAAATAGAAAATTGAAATTGCAATAACATTAAGACTTAAGAAATCAGTAAATAAATTCATGGATCAGGGATTCAAGCTCACCTAAAAACAAAGAGAGAGAGAGAGAGAGAGAGAGAGAGAGAGAGAGAGCCTGGCCGTAGCTGCTACCGACCGGTAGGTAGAGGTGTCTTCTTCTCTTAAATGAAAGGGAGGAGGGAAAAGAGAAGGCGGCCAGAAAAGCCAAAGACTCAAGAAACTCTAGTTTTCCTTCTTAGCTTTCTATTCGTCCCAGCTTATCGCTAATTTGGTTTGGTGCAGAAGACCCATCTCAAAATTGGGGTTTTTGGCTTGCTTTCCCTTGATTGTGGTGAAGTTTTAGAAGAATTTGAAGTGTAAACTTGAGGGGAGGATGGTTAATTTGGTCTATGGATAGGGAGCTGAAGAGGAAAGAAGAGTAGCAATGCATTGGAAGAGCAAAGGTGGGGCCTTTGGGGAGTTGCAGGCTAGAAATGTGGTTTCTGCGAAATGGACTCTCATGCTTTGTATTTTATGCTTTTGCGCCGGGCTTCTCTTCACAAATAGGTACTTTCTGGCCTTAAGTTCAGTTAATTTGGGGGCGTTTCAATATTTAAGATGGTTTTCGCATGATTGTAGCTTAATTCAGCAAAATTTGAGGAATTGAGTTTTATTCGTTCGGCGAATTCTGATGGATTTAGCTTCTTGGTGATTGTCTTTCATCTTTCCTCATTTAATTTTCTGTAGAATAGGTGGGATTTATCAACACAGGGCTTTCTAATTCCTTTTCTTGAAATGAATCATTTTTTAGTTTAGTACTTTTGGTTTCTGTGAAATTATGCTAAGTAGATTGTAATCTGGAGTTAAAATAATCTATTAATCAAGTTGTTTAAGGAGCTAGAGGAGTTCAGTCTTATCTATGATTCGTTTTAGAGCTGCAAACTGTTTTAATACACTAATTATGTCTCCTAATCTTAAGGCTTTAAGGGTCAACTGTTTTAACTGTACAGTCTGTACTTACGCTCTTCTTTAATGAATATTTGCTTTTTTGTATAACTCCTCCTTCCTTCGTCGTTTCAACGTGACTTTTTCCATCCTGCTGGCTAAAAAAAAAATTACGCTTAAACCACAGTTGAATTGAAAATAGTGAATTTTTTTGCTTGAAGGTACTGCAAGCCCATGATTTTCTTCTGATTTTGTTGTAAAAAACATTGAATTTGGTTGCAGATTATGGACATTGCCTGAACCGCAAGATGCAATAATACCAAGTAGGAATCAAGATTATACGACTAAGCTAGCTGGAGGTTGCAATTCAAAAACTGTGAGCTTGAATCCTTTGCCACTTGTGTAGATCCTCTTATTGCTTGGAATTTGAGCATGTCATGCTTCTGGTTTGCAAGAAATTCATCTTGTCATTATAGATGTGCTCATAGTGCATTAGGGCATCTCCAACCGAACTCCAAACACATGAATGGCGTCGCTCGCGAGCTCTAGCCGAACGACAAAACTTCCGACATTTGGTTGCGGGTGAACAGTGCGACGCCAATATTGGCGTGGCGCTGTTCACCAACGTTATTTTTCTGTCTCTACCGGATTTGCCGAAGAAACGCTCCAAAGAGGAGAAAGACGGTTACCTTCTATGAAGGAAGTAAAATGGAGTTCGATTGGAGATGAATCACGCCATTTTTTAGTTCCACTGCATTTTGGAGTGAAAAATGAGATTTTGGTTGGAGATGCCCTTAGGAAAGCAAAAGTTAACTTTTTTAGGCATCATTTAATACATTTTTTCTTCCCTTTGATTATTACATTCTGTATCAAATTAAGATTTTTCACGCATTATTAACATTAGATCAACGAAGACAGAGACCATAAAGAGATGCTAGGAGAAGCATCAAAAGCCAATTATGCCATACAGTAAGTTAAATGAAAATTATCTTGGTTGATTTTATTTTGAATTTTATGCATCATGATTCTAGCTTCTAAAATTCTACATTTTTTTTCTGTTCTGTAGCACATTAGATAAAACTATAGAGAACTTAGAAATGGAATTAGGAGCAGCAAGGGCTGCACAAGAGTCTATAATCAATGGTTCTCCATTATCGGATGACCTGAAGGATATGTCGACTGGTGTAAGACGGAAATATTTGATGGTTGTAGGGGTCAATACTGCTTTTAGCAGCCGTAAAAGAAGAGATTCAGTTCGCAGCACTTGGATGCCTCAAGGTTGAAGTCCCACCTGCTTTTTTCACTTTATTCTTATGCTTATGACCATAATTGTTTACCGTTTATCTTTTCCAATATTTCAAAAAGGCGTGAAAAGAAGGAAGCTTGAAGAAGAAAAGGGCATCATCATCCGCTTTGTCATAGGGCATGGGTATGCATTATTTATCGGATGGCAATGCTCTTTAATTTTTTACTTTTTTATTTAAAATTAAATCAACGCACCAACGAGCCCATTCAGTTATCTTCCCCCACTTCTACCTTTTTTTTTTTTTTTTTTTTTTTTTTTTTTTTAAATTTTGTTTGATGAATAATAACCTTGTAGGAGAATGCTGTTTTTTTAGGTCAAATTTTTGGAGCATTTACCAATTTTTATGCAGGGAAACACAAAAAAAAAGCATGGTGAGAACAAAAGGCATTACAAAATCTATTCAATTTAAAACTGTTGGGAAGTAAACCACGCAGAGAACAAAAACAAGAAAGAGAAAATGCATCGAAAAGAGAGAACATCAGGATTTAACGTGGAAAAATCCGAACCCTGAAAAAATCACGGAGCCACAGCGCCAATAAATTCACTATGAAAATTTTGGAGGAATAGTACAGATCTCTTTCTCTCTTGCTCTCTGCTTATCTCTTTTCATCATTGCATCGTTCTCTTACAAACAAACAAAGAGAAATACACTAAAAACTACCAAGGGACGCAACCCTTCATGAAAATGAGAAAGAAAATTGCACAGTCTGCCTTGCAACATGGTGCCAAGTTTGGATTGCCGTGGCACTCCACTCTTTGTCTTCGGTTTGTCTAATAGTGCCACAGTGCCTGGGTCTGGAGCGTTGCAACGCTGGGGTTTAGAGAGCCATAACGGTGCACCTTTTGTTTGTCTCCAAACAAACTATAGAGCGCCGTAATGCTCAGGTACATAGCGCTTCATCGTTGTACGGTTGTAGGGGGGAGGGAAATTTCCCAGGTGCAAAGCACCCAAACTCGTATAAAATTTTAATAAAAAACACCTAAAAATATTTGTGAAGGATACCTATTATTGTGAATTCTTATTATTGTTAAAAATTCCTTGGTTCAAAGATAAAATAGTCATATTTCATGATATTTGACGTGTGAATAGATAAAATTTATGACAGCAATGTTTTTTTTTTTTAATTTTATTTTTGTTGTAGAACACAATATTGTTTGTATAAAATAGAGAATCAATGTAGTAGATATAAAATCTACATTACAAATACAAAGATATTTACTCTAACTGTAGTCGTTGAATCCCTTTTCTTCTATTATTTGAATTCTTCTATTTTCACCTATTTTAGTTTATGAACCGGTGATTAAATTTGATTTTGAATAATAGCATAATAAAAAAATAGCATTAAAAAAATCTATATCTTTTGCCAATCATATTTAATAAGATTTCATTTTTATTCCCAGATGGTAGTGGCATCTTTATTAACTTATCAAATCAAGAATTTATCTTCAAATAATTTTCAATCTTACACTGGTATTCGTTGCTAATCCATACGCATTCAAGTTCTTCAATCATCTTTGATTGTTCTTGTTCATGTGAAATGCCACCAAATTTATGGAACCTCATCAGAATCTCATTTAGCCTGACTTTGTGGTGACTTATAATTTCAACAAATCTCATGTGTACTAGAGGCAGTCTACTCTAGTGAGAAAATTGCTGGCTGTGTCATTATTTGTGGAGTCTATGATGTAGGACTTAATTGTTTAGACAATGTTAAGTAAGAAATTGCATGCTTTTATTTGAGAGCAATATTAGTTTTTAAACTTGCAGTGATTTTAAACCATGAAAGAAAACAAGAGAAGGGTGAAACTAGCTTAGGCCAAGTCACATAACTAGAAGTTAAGATCACAACATAATCAATTACTCAAGCATAGCATACGTGAAGGATTTTCAACGGGAAATTCCTAAATTAACGATGAGATTAGTCACTACGAAAGAGATCCCTTTCTCGACTCTTGAGAATACTAGGCTTAGCGGAGGAAGTTAACTCAACATTTATCAATCAATTATGGCCACAATTGAGAGCAATTCATAAGATATAAAATTTGGAGGAAGAGTTTACCTTTGTCGGGGTTTGGAAATAATCTGCCACTGCACGGAAGAGAGTTGTTCGTCAATGGCTTCAGCGAGGGTGAAGATGATCCTCTCTACATATTACTCTACAATTTGGTCAATCTCTAGGTTGAGGTCGAAGAACGGTGAGTTGAGGATATCGATGTGGCCTTGGTTGTCGTAAACGAACCCGTGATCTTGTTCAAGATCGGCCATACAACAATGGACAGCAACTTCAAGGTTCGGGAACCTTTGGACAGCAATCGGAGACCTCTCCAAGCGGTTGGACAACAAGGAAGAGTGCAGGAATTTCTGGATAGCAAGCATGAACTGATTTGAACGGAAATATTGCTGATCTGGGGAGTTTTGGATAGCAATCCCTTGGTCCAGAAATCTGGACAGCAACATAGGGATGTTTAGGAACTAGAAAGAGAGCTATTGGGTGGAGAAATTGTGTTTAGTAGTTGGGAAAGACTAAAGGGGCGGCGGCTAGGTAGAAGGGGAGGGAAGAATTTGAGGGGATAATGTAAATTAATTCCTAATGAGGGGAGAGATTAATGGGATGGAATTATTGTGGGATATTTGAATTGGAGAGAGAGGGAGGGGCTGGCCATGCAAGGGGCTTGATTGGGGGATTTGATTGGATGAATTAGTTAGATAGGAGAGAGGGTAAGGAGGCCGACCAAGAGAGAGGGGAGAGAAGTGTCCACATTCGTTGAATGTGGAGGGGCAATCAATGCTAATTAATTTCAGATTTTAATCTTCAAGATTGAAGGGTTTTCCTAAAATTGGTTAATTAATTTAAGAAAAAAATTGAATTTCAAATTTATTTAGATTTGAATTTAAAAACTTTCCAAATTAATATCAACTAATTTAGAAAATAAGGAAATTAAGGAGGGAAAGGGACTAGGGGCCGGTGGCTTGGGCTGGTGGTGGAATTAGGGTGATGGGGAGTTAGGCTGGTGGTGGTGGGGGCTTATGGTCGGTAGGTGGAGGAGGAAGAAGGGGTGGTAGTGCTTGGCCAAGAGAGAGGGAGGAGAGGAGAGGTGGCCGGCCTAGGGTTAGTGGAGGTGGGGGTTTTGGCCAAGAGAGGAAGGGATTTGGCCGGCGGTTTAAGGGAAAAGAGGGAGGATGGGAAGCGACGACGTCACCACGAACCCGGACGCTTCCTGCGGTTGGTGGGTATTGCGATGCCCTCACCTAGGGACTTAAATCTCTTCAAGAACTCTCAAGCTCTTGCAAAACACATAAATGCCAAAAATTTATAATATTATTCATCATCTCCTCAAAGGAGGAGGCCTTAAATAGCCAATACAATGAAGAAAGTACAAAAGACAAACTTTCCCTTAGGGCATACACATGACTAGGCCCTCAAGTGAGGGCATTAAAGGAAAATGTACAATAACTCATAAACATAATAATATGATACAATGATAATAAAAAATAAAACGGTGCAATCGTGGCCGTAGATTGACGGTCATGCCTCTGGTAGACTCTCCAAGGTCGGATGCCCTCATCAGTCTACCTCCGCAGGTAGCCTCATGAATAGCTTGCGTGCTTATCAAGAACTTGAGTTAGTTCGGATGAATATCTGAAATAGTAAAAAAAAACTTTTGACTCCAACTAATAAATATCTTTGTATTGTAACTTTTATAAATTGTCCACCAAAGCACATATTTTCTCTACACATTGTGGACCTCTGAAAGGACACCGCCGTGCGGGGGAACAGAGTGCGAAGGGTATACGACCGCGCCATCCCGAGGAACGAGATGATTACAACCCTCTGCGCTCTTCGCAAGCGGGCCAATGGGAGGGCAGATTAGATCGCACATATGATCAACCATTGAGGATAGCGATTCTCACCAACACATCCTGATGGGTAATAATATATACGACCTGATCAGAACAACAAGTTTCCCCCACTCGATACATCAGCTTGAGTGGGACTTATTTGATGGTGAAATTCGGTTTCCCGCGGGCGCAATTCCCCGCAGTTAATTACATTTCAAACTGGGGTTTGAGAAGACTCTCGATTAATGACCCGACATTATGCTTTCTGAAGGGGATTGACACATATGGTGGAGACTAGGAAGTTCCTACTCAATAGGAAAGAATGGTTCAAGTGGCTTGAGAGAGATGAAAGGAAGTTGGGAGAGCTCACCCATGAGAAATCTTGTCTTGGGGAAGCTTAGGGAAGAATAAGAGCAAAAGTCCTCTATTAGGAACCCTAAGGAGAGTATTTATAGGCTAAGGCACTAGATGGATGGCCATGATTGATCCTAGGGCTAATTAGGAGGGAATTAGATGGTTTTAGCCGTGATTTGAATGAATGGATCAATAGGAAACAATTTGAATGCATTAAAGGGGGGATTTTGACCAAATTAAGCCTAGGTTTGACCAACCAAGGCTTGGGTTGACCAAGCCAAGAGTTGACCTAGTCAACTTGGTCAAATGAGTCCAAGGGATGGGGGTTTGAACTCAAGATAGCTTGGGATTGAATTGAATTTGAATGAGAAAGGTTTCGACCTAATTAGGCCTAGTTTGACCAACTTGAGCTAGGGTTGACCCAAGCATGGGTTGACCCAGTCAACATGGTCAACTAAGCCTAAATAGGTGGAGGGTTGAGCTAAAAGTAGGATTGGAATTGGATTAGAGCTTGAATTAACCTCATAGAGCTTAATGGGTCAACCTTGATTGACTTGGTCAACCATGTTGACCCAGGGCAAGGGTTTGGGCCCAATGAGTCTAAGGGAGGAGTGAATTGAGCCCAAGAAGCACTGATTTAATTTAAAATCACAAGGAGAAGAATTGGGTTAATTTTGGTCAACCCAGGTTGACTTGGTCAACTAGGTTGACCCAGGGCCTGGGTCTGGGCTCAGCAGACTTGATTTGATCCACTGAACACAGAAGAGGTGATCTTGGGGCCTGGCTTGGTCAATTTGATCAGGTCAACCCCCTTGATCAAGGATCTGATGAATTCAAGGTCAACACACATGACCTTATCTTGTACCTGACATTCATGTCATTTGATGATGCCTTAACATCTATTGTCCTTGCTTGCTTATTCTTATTA